CAGAGATGATGCATGGCATGAAAATAACCAAATACCATTTAGATGTGACCAAAAAATAAACAACACCGAGGGCAGTATAAACAAAATGATTATACCGTTTGTTTCTTCTAAAATGAATTTGGGTGAAAAGAGTCAACAAGTCATTGAAATGTACCGGTAAAAATCCAAACACCTTCACTGGCACAACAGTTTAGTAACACCACACATAATTACCGTAAACCTTTGAGACACAGAGACACTATTAAAACAGCAAATGTTAGTGCTCACACAAACAAAGATAAATTGCCTACTGAACTCGGGAAATGCTTTGGCTCTTTCTTTGCGATCAGAAACTGTATTTGTTAGCATACTCATAGAGCAAAAGTAATAAAACTCTTTTCATGACACACTGGTCCTTAAATATGAATGCTGAATACAGAGTTTTCAATTGGAATTTAAATATGGAGAAAAAAACAGAAATAAGGTTTTGGATCCATTTTTATCTGTAATGGTGAGTACACATACATCTAGGACAGCGCAAGCTGTCTTTTTGGCAAGAAGATCCATGGAATGATGAAGGCCAGATTTACCTCTTTTGAAACATTTTTGCAAAAAATAAATTTTCAGCATCGTTCTAACAGGTGAGAAAGCAACCATGGATATGATAGAGTTAGAGACACTACAAAATCAAAACTTGCTGTTTTGCTGTTTGACCCAAATGCAGCCCCAGTTGTGGAGGATAAGCAATTTAAGACAAAATAATAATTTCTCTGATAAAAAAGACAGTGTGCATAACGTTTGTTGAAGGCTCACAGAACACCCTGTCAATCATTCAGAAAAAATCTCATGTTTTGGGCTCCGCGTTGCAACAGGACACTGAGGTAAAACAGCTGTAGACATATCCAAGTTGTGTGATTTTCAACTTGACGATAATTACCAAAATGGCTCGTTCGTTACTCTCAGTGTAACTGTGTGGCTGAAATATTGCCATACCATTCTGGGTATGCATGCAGTGGCCAATATTCAATCTAATGGTGAAATAAAATTTCCTTGTATCACTTCAGTACAGGAGAGTCTGTAGCATGGGTGAATGAAATCAAAGTCATACTTTTCTTCTGTGTGTGCTGGTACAGTATGCTGAAGATGCCATTTACGTGTTTGCAGGAGAATGTGCCAAACTGTAGTGTGAATTACACATGTACTAGGGGACTTCTTCAAATGCCTCACTTCTGAAATGCATTTCTCAGCTTTTGACCTTTTTATCTGAACTTTTATACAATGTATCCTTTTTACACCCCACACCGATTCACTTTCATTTGAATTAAAAACATTGAAATCATTCTAAGAGATCCAACACACTACCTTCAGCGTTAAACAAAGGTAATTTGTGTTTTCTTAATTAATAAACCACTAAATATCGATTTCTAATACGTTTAGCTCATCATGCAGCCTTGACAAACTGAAAAATTCAGGAAAGCTTAATCTACGCATATTCACATATACTAGTACATGTAAGCTAAAACTAACATTGCATTGAAGTGCAAAATAAAATTGGCAACTCTATCTCTAGTACATTTCTTGTCAATTGCTCTGAACAAGAGTGCTTTTCTTGTGTAAAAAAAAGTGATGTCGTGAGACAGTTTACCTGCTGAGTCTATTGTTTTGAAACATGAAATACTTGTCAACTGCTGAACAAGAACAGTCACAATAAAAGAACCGAATTGAAACCTCAACTGGGTTAGACTGAGAACACGAGTTTAAATACCAGAACACACAGTTACTTCACCCGCTGCATGAGGCTGTGAAAAACCAAACCAGATGATTCTCAAACCCATCTCCAAATACAGGGAGGTCCCACACGTACACTCCTAAGTGTAAACATACAGTTGGGGTAAAAAGTTTACATAGAAAAGCAGTTTTCCTCAATCTTTTGCTGTTTGAAAAAGTTTTACCAATTTTTTCTTTGTGAGGTCAGACAAACTGAACCTCAACTTAATGTTTTAGTATGTACTTCACTTGAAAATACTCAGAGACATTTATTTTGGTTCAAAATATTAATATTTCTGAAAAATTGTTCTCTGATTCTCTGAAAATTTACATTTACCCCCTTATTGTCATTCAAAAACATTTTAGAAAACAGTCCACTGCGACTATGAGATGGAACAAAAAATACAGCAAGTGGCACTAAATATTAGGAATGGGGTATGTGAAATTTTTTGTAAATATAAATATGAATTATGCATGGGTAATTTCAGAAATTAGGGGTCCATTTTTTCGTGTCCCTGTCACATCTGACATATGATTTTGAAAGTACAGCACACATTTTCTAATTTCCAAGAGTGATGAATTAATACAATAACCTGCCAAACAAATAGCAACAGTTTAAAATCAATTCCGGAAATATTTCCATCTAAATAACAGATTATCAGCCAAGACAAAAACATTCCAGTGCTCCAGCACTCCAGCGATGAGCGATACAGTACAACTGCACGCTAATCTGGCCGCATCTGTAAGGACACTGACCCCATTTAGCAACGCACTGGGCCAATTTCAGGAACAAAGGAAATTCCGCAACATTGCAAAATGTGGGCTCTCTTTACTGGTCGGCAGGCCTGGCTGCAATACTCGGGCATCAATGGAAGTGCCTGTCAGATTAGAGTAGCCACCAGACAGTCATTCGTGTGGGTGTAAGCATCCAATATGAAGATATGAATTTTTGAAGAATTTTAAAAGAAGAAAATCATGAAAAAATCCCCCGGCAACGTGTCCAGCATGTGCAAACTCCACCTGGCAGGAAGTGGTTAAGTAGAGACCCATCTGGTCTGTCCTCATGAATAAAAAGTGGTAGAAATGAGTGAGGTTGTGAAATTTGAGGAAAACTATTTTTACAGTGTCAGGAGTATTCATGCATGCTTTTTGTCCCAACTGTATGTCTGTCACCATAAAACAGAGGCGAGATTCCCAATTCCAAATTAAAAAAAAAAGGAAATGTTGGACCAACAAGACAGGGTTGGTTTTCTGAACAGCCTCACACAACAAGAGTTTCAAAACATGCATAACAAACAGCGCATACACTACCACAAACAACGATGTTACGGTCATGCTGTTAAACTCTTCACCTTTAGAACGGGGGGGGGGTCAGAGGATTATAGCAACGAGAGAACACCCATGCAGAATTGAACATGTCCTTCAATTCAAACCTTTTTTGCTCTTTCCTTTTTCCTTTTTGGGTACTGAAAGAATTAATAATTCATTAAAAGGGTAGTGAATAAAGATGTCCTGGTTGTATATAATCAGCAATTTAAGTTCAATTCGAGCAAATACAATATACATATACATGTATAAACTAGACTGGTTGACAAAAATCTTTGGCCAGCCTAGCAGAAAAAAAGTGCACAGGAAGTGGATTCTACGTACATTGTACATGTATGTCTGGTTCTCAGAACCTAAAAGACTATTCCACTATTTAAAAAAATAATCACAGTGGCAAAACAAAGCAATTTTGCCATCTAGTGGATAATTCAGTCTGTGACCCTCTGACAAGTCACTGGCAATGGACATATCCCGTGTAAAAGATGTGGATGCTTGAACGCACTCCAGAAATATTCCCAATTCAGGGCTAAATCAAAGGGTTATTTTAACTGGCAGAAAGAACAGAGTGTTAGGCTGAAGAGTTTTGCAGGAGAAAAGGTAGTCAACTGTACAAAATCGCAAGGAAGAAGCGCAGCAAACAAATGAAGAACCTCCTTTGAGGTCTCCTTTCCAATACACAATACTGGGTGAGGTTGCGGTAGAGTCGCCTTCCAAGTCCCCAGAGTGTGCCAGAAATAGCAAGAGCAATTGTAGAATGACCCCTGAATAGAGTCAGAGTACTTTTAAAAAATGCTTTGACATGTGCAGCACACATGATTAAAACCCCATGCACTTCTACACCACCGGTATTTAACCAGAACTGGGTCAGACAGGCCTAAATACTTCCAGGAAAAAGCCCCCCAATTTATGCATTTTATGGCGGCAGGGGTGGGGGCTGAAGCAGGTTATAAAGTGACAGTGTAAATAGCACACATGCCATCAATTCCCAAAATATCAAGAGCAACCAATTTTCCTCCAAGCCCCAGTGCCCTCTCCTGGAGATGTCACTGACTCACAGCATACTCATTCCTGCTGCACTATGCCGTATTTGAGTGCATTTTGTGAACTCAGAAAGACTTATCTACACTGATATTGACAGCAAACTCAATGATACTGTGAGTTGGTCGAGGGCAGATCCAGACCATATGATTTTGGGGTGGGAGGGGGGCAAATTTAGGAATTACAGCCTTTCTGAAGGGTAATGTTAAAGTTCAGAGCTTAACATACAAGCAGTCTGAAGGAAAATATGTGAATTAGTCTCGAAAACTGCATTTCTATCATTACTTTTCAAACTCTACAACACCTTTTGCCCTTTTCTGAGGGAGGGAGAGTAGCCATGGTCCCAATTGCCCCCTCCCAAGATCCCTGAATCCACCCTCGAAGTTGGTCCCAACCCAGCTGACTGTTAATATCCAGTCCAGACCCAGTCTTGGACGGTGTACCTACCGCTCTGCTCCATCATGCTCTGGAACTCCTTGTCCTCTGCCTCCTCCCGCCGCCGGTCCTCCTCAAGCCGCTCCACAATGCGGCTGCGCTTGGTGACCGCCTCCACCAGCATCTCCAGGAGCTTCTCCTCCCGTTCCACGTCGGCATCCGTCTTCTGGTGCTCATGCTTGTGCATCAAGCAACGCAGCTCATACTCGATCTCAGCCTGTTGCAGCTCCAGATCCTGCATCTGGGATCTAGGGACAGCATGGAAATGCTTCTATTTTTAAATTATGTTTTACTTTGAACTACAGGGTCTGATCCAAAAATGGACAATCAAGAAAAATGCCCCACTTTTTACCTTCAAATATTTACAACAACATTATTTCTTCAGTGACTTTAAAGACTAAAAAGGGATATTTTTATCTACATTCAAATTTATGATTCTCAGAGGTAGGCCTACATAGAGTCTATGCTTGCGAATTTGATAAAATTATTAATAAAATAGAAACACAAAAGGGCAAGTGTGTAATTTCAGGCATACTTTGTCCTATGCATGATGGAAGTTTCACCCATGAACATGTTTATGGATTGAAGTCCCTTTTACTCTACTGTTTAGTGTCTAGATGGACAAAACCCACAAGAATTTTTTACAGTGTCAGTCTTTTCAATGATTGTGTATTTAAAGACAAAGAGGGATATTTATTGGACTTACCCAAACAAACAGAAAGTGTATTAAAGTTGGGCCATTTGAAGAGAAGTAAAAAGAAACATTATTTTTCAAGCATCACTGATAAATGTCTTACTGTGCAACCAGCTCTCCTTCTCTTCTCAGCAGCTGGTTCTTTTCGTTGACGAGCGCAAACCATTCAATGAGAAGATCTTCATTGTCTTGATCATGCCCTGGTAAGGACAAAAACGGTATGTGAAATTTAGGAGGATTCAATGGTCTTCCTGCTGATTCTGTTCCAGCAAATATCACTGAGAGTTCAGCTAAATTTGCACTTTCTTCTCGTTGCTGTTGAGAATTAAAGTGAGTACAGGACTCCACACTGAAACATATGCACATTTTGTGCCGATATACATGTCTTGAAAATGTTTAAAAACACATTCCTAAAAACCTGGGACAGTTTTTCTATTCCTATCGTTTGAAAGGCATCAGATGACTGTGCATTAACCCCTTCACACCGGGATTCTTTTGACCGTGACTGCTGGGCTGCGGTATGGCCAGTTTGCAAAGCCCTGTCCAGCAGCAGGCCAACATTGAAACTGCAGGTGCAGATGAATAGAATGTATGTGTGGTATGGACTAATCCTCCCAAAGAGCCACGGCGTTTGCCGTCTCCCGGCTCGAAGAGGTTAGCATTTTACACAATCTATGACTGCACAGGAGCATATCTCCAAGTAAAGTGAGCCCGTACCTTCCATATGTGTTCGTAGACTCTGCTCTATCTTGATTCCCTTGGCTTCCAGCTCACGCTGTTTGATCTCAATCTCACACAGCTCTTTCTGGATGATGGCTGGGTCAACGTGATACTTGTCGACCTAGGAAGAGCCAGGAAGAAAATCTCAAAGGTCAAAAGTGTTAAAGGCACATAAGAATTCAACTGTAGGGGCAAACCATGGAATGTAGTCACTGTAACATGTACAGCATGATTGCGGCAGCGACTGCACCAACTCCGCCTGTGTCAGTTATTCTTCAAAGTATATGTAACTGGCATAATTCCTCTGCCATTTCTTGGGCCCGACTTCCTAAATGCGCATGTACATGTACGGTGATCAGGCCTAGCTGTTGTCTGGATAAAGTTGCATGGGAAAAAAAAAAAGATTTTGATTAGCAACATCATAAGTTGTTGCAAGAAACTGGTAGCCTTCAACTAGCCTTTCCTGGAAGGGGTTTAATCACTTCGCGCCAGTGGCAGTTATCAAAGTTGATGTGCTGGGGAGTGATAATTATCATCTTTTTATGCTTTCAAAATTCTTTAAAACTTCCTATCTTCATTTACTGGACACTTACACCCACTGGAAGGACCGTCTGGTTTCTACTCTAATCTGACAGACAACATCTATTGACACTGGAGTATTTCAGCCAGGCCTGTCACCTTATAAAAAGAGCCCACATTTTGCAGTGTTACGTAATTTTCTTTTGTTCATGAAACTGGCACCTTGTGCTGCTGACCTCTTTTCAATAGCGGCCAGATTAGCGTGCAGCGGTACTGTGTGGCTCATCGCTGCGGCGGTGGAGCGCTTTGGTCCCCGGAGGTAATCTGCTTGCACTAGTCCCCAAAACCGTGGTATACTGTTTCAAAACAAGGCTGGATTATCTCCACTATTGAGAGTGAAAAAATGTTGGTAATGCCCAGCAGCCTGGTCTTTTGTTATGAGTACAGTCTTTTGTTACAAGGCCCAGTTCCCTTTGTCCAATTTCGAAGACCCCAGCCACATGTATAAAGAATACATGTCCGGTACCGGAAACCCTGGCAGCAAGTGGTTAATTATGCACAAGGAGACTCAACCTGATGAAATCGGTTGGCAATTTTTGAGTTACTGCCCTGTAAAGAATTTTGCACAATGAATTCAAGCTATCCGCCCTGAGTTGAAGTGCACCCTTGAAGTGCCGGCAAAAGACAGCAAGGTAAGAAATTTTCCAAATGGGTTCTTGCACGCATTCGGCATGCAGGTGAAGACTACACCTTCCAGAATAAATTTGTTGCGAATACTCAGCATGCTCTCCATCAAACGCGCATAAATATGTGTGGCTACGTGGTGAGTTTGCACCAAAGGACTGTCAGTTTCATTTAAAAACTCATTTGTTCCCGTTCGGAGCAGAGAGGCTCCCTCATCATTTTTCAACAGCATAATGTTCAGTTTCACTAGGATGTCCACCTGAGCGACGTATCAAAGCCAGCTCATTTTGCTTTTTCTTCTGCTAACTACAAGAAAAAATTACTGATTAAAATGGTCTAGCGACCCATTTCTGGGATTTGGTCACATTATATTTGCAGAAGAGAAAATAATATCAAAACTCAAGTGTTTGGTTCAAGCATAGTAGGTCAAAATTATTTTGGTGCAGTCAACTTCCAATAGAAGTCAACTTCAATGAAGTCAACCTTTAGTCTGCTGTTTTTGTACAACCCCTTTTTCAAATAGGCTACAATTCCCTACATTTATCTATCAGTCCATCAGACTTAAATTGTTCTTCAGACAATATCTGTATTTAGCCAGGCTTTCACCTTCAACAACTCTATACCTCTCTCTTGACCGGAGGGGGTGCTGGAGCCCTCTTCCTGGAGCCTTGTGTAGACAATGTTGGAGGCTTGATTGGGTCAGAGGTCGGCCTTGGGGGCTTGACCTTCAACAATGAAATTACATGTAAGTGCAAGAGAGAATGAATATACACATTTTAGAAATGCATCTCTGCTCAATGATGTCCATTAACAGACTTCCTAAAATAGAATAGCTGTTTCTGCGAGCCGATCTGCACCAAGTGATGCTAATCAGCACAAAACATCTCAAACAATACATTGCCTGATTTCACTGATTAGAGAGTATTCACCTGCTTCCTGTCCAACAATTCATCAGTTCCTCTTCGCATCCTTGGAGATGGTACCGGTGACTCGTCATTGGTCTTGGCTCCAGTGGAGCATTGTCTCCTTGGGGAGGGAACCGGTGAAATCCTACCATCAAGTTCCTTGCCTGGTGTTATGATCTTCTTCAAACGAGGTGATGGCACTGGTTTTGCACTTGCATCTGAGTTTGTTCTTTGGTCAATACTGGCTGGGGCTGGTGGAGGTGGTTTGTCTGGACGTGATTTGTTATCTGCAGCCTCTGGTGGTCTGCCATTCTCCTTGGGTGGACTTGGGGCGGGTCTGCTCTTTCTTGATCTGGGTGGAGGCCTGAGAGAATCCTTTTCCTGGGTGATGGACGATCCAGGTCGATTAGGTGGTGCAGTAGGTCTGGGTGGGGCTCCTGTCGGTCTGGGCGGTGCATCATCTGGCCTGGGAGGAGCCGGGCGTTTTTGACGACTCTTCAGTGTGTGGCGATCGCGCTGCATCTCCTGCAGGATCTCCTGCCTGGTTTTCACTTTGTACGATCCCTGCTGACTGGGGATTTCTGCCGGCTTGGAGCTGCCTGTGCCTCCAACTGGAAGAGGGGGCCACTGAGCAATAGGGGATCCTAATGAAGGATCCTCATCGTCATCATCTCCGAAGGGATTGAGATTATCATCATAGGCATCATCATCCTCAGAGCCAGATTCGTCAAATGGATTCTTGTAACCGTCATCCTTACTTTCCTTGACTTCCTCTTCTTCTTCATCATCATCTCCAAAAGGATTCAGACTTTCATCATAGTCATCCACTTTGGGCTTTGGGGTTTGACTCTCTGCCTTTTCTTCTTCCCTGACACCTTTCTCATCTTGCTTTTCAATGACTATTTCACTAGCATCTGGCTCCCCCTCCAGATCGCCTGTTTCATTTGCAGGCTCTGCTGCTTTGGTAGTGTTGTACTCCACACAGAAGGAATCAGACAGGTTCAGGTTGGCTGCTGTGACCCCCTCTTGGTCGCTGATACTATCTCTGCTCAAGGCAGATGAACGTTTCCCTGGCTCTATGCCACTAGCAAAGCTCTGCTGATCAATATCAACACTGCTAGTTTCCGAGTTGTTGATTTGGCTGATGGAGCTGATGCTCGTCAAGCTGAAGACATCCGAGGACGTGTGTCCGCTGTCTCTAGAATGAGCACCGACACTCAGAGGTTCTGATTCAGTCTTTATTTCATCAGTTTCGGGCGAAGCCTTTTCACTCTCCTTTGATACTTCCATGCTTGTCTCTTCATCCTTACTGGGACTCTTAGAAACTTCCTTAGCATCACTTGGTAAGCTCCAGTTGGAACCAGCTGGGCTGGCTTCTCTGGAGTCCTCTTCTCCCACGGCAAGTTTTCGGCCTGTGCCTCCTTCCAAGGCATCTAGCAAGTAATCCTTTGATGCTGCTGTGCCTGGCTTCAGGTTCCCCCTGACTGCAGCAAGTGAGGCCAGCAGGCCTTGCCTTGTGGCCTCAGTCTTAGCAGCATCGCTGCTCAAGTTCTTCTCCGGAGAGACGAGGCTAGGTCTGGAAGGCTGTTGGACTGGTTTCGGTTCTTGGGTTGCTGCTGGGCTGTTAAACCTCTCTCGGGCTGCCTTGCTGGCTATCAAGTGTGGATGCATTGGAACGGCCGGCTTATTGGAAGGCTGTGGGAGATCTGCCACTTGGGGCTTCTGGGGCGGCAGGGCTGGCTTCTCTGGCTCTGACTTTGCATTTGACTGCTTTTCCCAAAGGCCCCCAGCTGTGCTAGTGTTTTTAGGCACAGGTTTCAAACCGGATCGCGCCTCCCATACACCAGCCACACCATCGTTCTCTCTTATTGGTGGCTTTCCATCCGACTGCTTCTGCCACAGGCTGCCACCACTGTCGGTCATGGCCTTCATGCCAGGCCTGGCCTCCCATATGCTCCCGCCATTGCTGGCCTGCTTCTTCTCCTTGGAAGCCCGGCTGGCAATGTCGGACCGTAGTTTCCAGATGTTGTCGCCATGGTCCAGGCATTCCAGCTGCTTTGGGTTGGCGGTGGCCTTGTAGTTGCCCGACCGCAGTGAGGTTTTGCACTTTGAGCAGCGGAAGCAGTTCCGGTGGTACAACTTGCCATCAGCCACCTGGCGCTCCACCAGGTAGACTTTCTTTCCACATATTGTGCATGTGTCTCCCAGGGTGGGCTGCTTGTTTGGCTGAGAACCAAAAAGGGGAACATTATACATTACAAATTAAATTAAACTAAGAACAATCAGTTGATTAAAAATACAGGAGAGGTCTGGCAGAACAAGCACTAAAGTTTGGCTGTAATTGAAACTTTTGCAGTGCCTATTACCCTAATTTCAGAAATATAAGCTGCAGCTTATGCATTTATTCTCGGCTTGTACACTGGGCGGCTTAAATACAGCAAACTTTGAAGGATAAAATCAGTCACAAAAGCTGCACCTGGGCCACACGTACTCAGTGCTACTGGCTCAGTCATGTTTTCGTTACTTGAACCTCGGAGAATAAATAAAATTCAAGTTGTCCAGATTCCGAGTTATGAAATTGACTTCCCTGAGTCATGGAGTCAGGAAACACATACATGAACAATGTACGTAGTCATAATAAACTTCACTTGTCACTGTGATGGCAACATTGTAGCGATTTTTCCCACTTTTTATTTGTTCTCGTGGTGTATTTTTTGCACACAAATAATCTTTTACTGAGATTTTTTTGCATTGTTACTTAAAGGTTTCCTGCTGTGCCTGGCTTAAGGTTCCCCTTAACCGCAACAAGTGAGGCCAGCAGGCCTTGCCTTGTGGCCTCACAAGTACCTTCATGTAGCAAACCTCGTCTTTTCACCGATTATGTTCGGCATGACATGCCACAGAATTTCGTGCTTGTTTTCATTTGGGTTTTCTGACGACATCACTTTCTGTGGTCACGTGGTTATTGGAAAGAGTTAGCAATTGGACTGTTCATGAATGGGTCTGTGGTAGCAGTCAGGATAGCCTGAAAGCAGGATTTGTCACGGTTGGTGTGGGGGCGGTGCACAGTATGCAGTGCATGTGCGGTGCAACATGCAACACAGGCAGTTGAGCTCGACAGTAATGACTCGAACCAAGGTCTCGCGGCAGTCCTTTGGCTGCGTGTTTTTGATTGGCGTCACAAAAAACTTTGAGATAACTGGATTTATTGTTGTGAAATCTATTTCCAAGGATGGGTTTGTGAACATTTCGAGTTAGTGAGGTATTTTTGTTCATAAAATTGTATTCTTTTAGCGAGAAAAAGTTGGCCTTCAAGATAAAGTGGTCTTTTGACTTAACAAACTTCGAATTATCAAGATTTTATTGTACATACCCGTCCGCATAACTTTTGCTGGCTGCTTGGAAAAAAGGGTAAGGGCTGCTGTACAACCCACACACAGGGCAATCATCCAGCCCGCAAAAATCATTCATGTTTGAGGACTTAAAATTCATTTTCGATTGGTGCCACTCATTTGCACTCTGCTTAGATTTATTAGGATTGCACATGTAGTGGAACCATTGACGTAATGTACATGCTGTACTGGCGCTTCAGCATGCAGAACGATGACCTTGGTGGTTGGATCGTCAGCGCTGCAGTGCGGTTTCTATGCTGGTGCGGCTTCTACCACGATTTTAAATCTAAACCGGCCGGTTTTTGCTGCTACGGCTTAAACGCTGTGTGGCTTATATTCCGAAATTACAGTATTCTACTGTGGCACTGTACTATGGAACAATGCACATGAATACTGTGTGATATAAGCACAGGAACCAGTACCCTCTCTGTGATCACAGAGCCATCCTGTACATGTATCTGCTGTTTTATTACAGAATCAACACAGCAAAGAAAACATCTGTATCACTGACCACGTGTTGTAGTGGTGACTCCCCAGCTGGTCTCTTGCTTGGTGTTCTGGTCTTCTGGCCTCCAACATCCTTAACTGTTAAATCAAACAACAGGAAAAAGTGGCATGTAAAAGTGCACAGCTTTCAGCATTCAGTGAATAGCTGTTTTGGCTACCAGTGTCTAAAAGTGAAAGAATGCTTTCAGACGAGTGAAAGTGAAAGTGATTTATTACGAACAGGCCTGTGATGCTGAGCAAACGGGAGAACGATGAGGGTGGGAAAGATTGAAGAAGCGCGGTACATGTACATGTATTTGCCACTTGCAAGTGTGAAGTGTAATGCAAGATTCTCCTGGATACCCATGGAAAATGGCAGTAAATGTATAAGACATGAAGGGTTAGTTGTTTCTTGACAATGGATGTAGAGCTCAACAGAAATCCACGCATGAGTTTGAGGAATTTTCAAAATGAAATCAGCAGAAAAAACAATGCAACTACACATAAAACAGCACGGAAACAGGGATCAAAACATTTGCAAGACAGAAACAATGGTATCAATACGGTGCCATGCATGAAACAAAACAAAAAAAATGCAGCAGCAGGGAGAAAGTACATGTACATGTACATGCACATGTAAATATGTATGAAAGATACCTACTGTACATGTGTACATGATGGTTGTGTGGAAAGTGACAAAAACATACATTCAAGTTTATGCGTATGACATTGTGATGGGCATACTAAATGAATACACCTTCCTGGTATGAACAAATTACATGTGGCGAATCAGCTAGTCTGTCCATATCACTGGTATTGTATCAACAGTAATTTTGTGCAAAGCACATTGCTACATGTAAGTTGAATTTCTGGATTACTCACACCTTACACCACTGCCAATTCGGACCGCATCACGTTAATGTGTTTAAATAGCAACATTTTTCAAATTGTGCTTTGCAGAGAAGACATTAAATGCGTACATAGGCTCTTTCTTAAAATAAGAAATATGTGTATACATGTATGGCCATCTGTATCTAATCTCCAAAGTAGGAAATAAGAAGTGCAAGAAATGATCCAGTTTTGCAGATGGAGAACTCACTTGGCTTCTTATCTCGGAAGTAACTGTAGTACTGTGACACGTAGGTCATGATGCTGAGTTTGTCTGGTACATGCATGGTGGCCATGTCATCAGGGTCCAGTAAGGCTGGAATTCCCAGTTCCTCCTCAGCGACGTCAAAAGCCTGCAAATGGCACACAACAGAGGGGGGACCCAAAGTATCAATTCCGAATTCAAGCTGTTATATCTTGAAGTAAAACCGTGTACAGACTTTTGAATGTGTACTCACTCACTGGTACATGTACATGTACCGGTACATGCACCTGTACATGTACCTGACTACCCTGTAGACGCGGCTTGTGCACAAGCTAACATAAACCCACCACCTAAGCCCAAGATTACATTCATCATGGAAGCTTCCTTTTGGGAGAGGTAAATAAGCAACGAATGGTATCAAAATTGACTGGAGTAGTCCTATGCCTGCAGGCCTTTGGTGGCCCAATATGGTTTCACAAATGGTGCTGGGCAGCACAGCTGGCCTATCAAAGACGACATAAACATATATTTTCCATGTTTCACTTTATTATGAGATTACCCTGTTTAATGACTACCGATAGTTACATAAAGATGATTCATGCTACATTATGTGAATATAATGTGTAAAACCTCCTCTGATCCAAGACGGATGGATTTAGGGAAAATGGCAGGGAAAGTTCAGGGCAAATAAGGTCTCTGGCAAACACCTTTACATGTATTTTGGGGGGCCCATTTGCCTTTTGCCGCTGACACAATAACAAACACGGAATGTAGACCTAAAGGGCTAGGGTCTGCAGCCTTTACAGGCTCGGTGAAGGATCATTTCAACCATTTTGCTTGCATTAAAATAGTGCATTTATGTAGGTATACAGTAGCCAGGTCAGCCAGCGTTATAGTGTGCATTCCTCAGATATTATTTTGCATTGAATTTCTTGTTTAGTCTATGGCAGGTGCTTTTCTGAGTCACAATCACTATAGGAAGCTGCATAATCCGTTAGTTTGTCCCTTGCTTTGACCAAGGATTGGGGAACATATAGGACAAAAAAGTCGTTGCGTTGTTTAATTGACTTGTGCCATGCACATGTGCTTGCAGCCTTACCTGGGCTTCCTGAACAACCATATAGCTTGTGCTTAAACTCAAATGCGCATGCATTATCCATCAAATTCCTCAGTTTACTGGGGCCATTCAGACTTCACTGACATTGTCGCAAGCAGGGTTTAATTGCCGCACACACCATTTTATGATGATAGATTTGGGGTCCATTGAAGTGGGAAGACTTTCACGTAGACCTGTGGGAAAGCCTATCATTGCAATACTTTTATGGAGATGGTCATCAGCTTGTTACACTTGCAAAATCTTTTGAAAACATTGACACACATATGTGGATTAGTGTTTTATGGTGTCATGACTGATCAATAATAATGGTGGATAAACAAGAAATGAGAATTACTAAATGGATAGACAGGTCCCTACCGGTAGGTTAAATACCCGATAATACACAAGAGCAAGGGCATTTTCAAGAGATAACTGGCCGTGCGTTGGGAGTTGACAGCCTTTATGTGCTTAATGATGTTATGCACAGTGGTTCCAGGCATGAGCCGACACTGAGAAATACAAAGGATTAAATTAGCTTTGATCGCAAATGCTCTTACCAAGATGCCATTTTACTATAGTTTGACTAAGAAGCTATGATAATGGGGGTATCATAAGGTAGCTCACAGTGAACAGTTATTTGGCGACTAAATGAGCTCAGGAGATATTTAGAAGACAATAAGCGAGTCCGTGTAGTACGACTCCATAGCAAATTGTGGGCAATACGCCTACATGACCAGACCGGCCCCTCGATATTCAAAGACGGATGACTCTAGGTAAGGTGTGCAATTTGCGGCATGGACCTAATTTACAAAGTTTCAGTTTTGATCCGGCAGTTACAAGGAGCTTTGCAAGCAATGGCCTCAAGAAACCTTCCTTTTTAGAATTATTTACAGCGTGGAAGAACATATTTGTTCTTTTGGTCGCCCATAAAAAAGTGTGGCTAAGGTTCATAACTAAAGAGAAGGTCTGTTTTGGCGTACTAAGCAACGGATACGCCAGTTGTGATATAAATCAGATGCCTATCAACAAGTTTCAAGGGATAAGCCCGAAAGGCAGAAGTGAAAGGCAATGTTTCTGCAAGAAGTGGGCTTAAGGGGCGGATCCAGCTTCGGGTGTCGGGGGCAAATTCAAAAGAGGAATCCGGTTTCGAACTCATTCAATATGATGCTGGGGACATACATGTGTAAACATAACTTAAAGCCTTACTCTTGGTCCAAACATCCTTGCTTTTATTTGTTGGTGTTGTTTTATTAGGGTTTTGTGGTTAATATGATTGAAAGATACCGACAAACTTTCTTTCTCACTCACCTACATGTAGGATGGGTCTGTGTAAAAAAAAGGGAAGAGTTGACATCACACTGATTGAGCCCTAATGAAATGTGTACAATGAGTACAAGGGACCGGTCAACCAGGCATGGGTGCAATGGAAGGCAATTAGGGCCCCAATGATCATAGCCGGAGATGGAGATTGATCATAACCAACCATTTTAGCTTTATGCCTTTGAAACAGTTTTAACAAACCCCCCTTCCAAAAAAGGGAGTCTTAACCACTTCGTGGTGGGGCATTTTTCAATGTTGATGATACTGGGCCGGCATGACTATCGTTTTTTCCGTTTTCAAAATCCTTCAAAACTTTGTCATTTCATTTAACGGTCGTTTATAGCTGCACGAAGTAATGTTCAGGCACTACTCTAAGTTGATAGGTGACCTTCATTGACGCCCAAGTATTTCAGCCAGGCCTGCAGCCTTGTAAACAGAACCCACATTGTGCGGTGTTATATAACTGTCTTTTGTTCACGAACCTGGCTCAGTGCACTGCTGACCTCTTTTCAATAGGGGCCAGATTAGCATGCAGTGGTGCTGTGTGGCTCATCGCTGCGGTGGTGGAGCACTTTTGTCCCCGGTGGTAATCCGCTCGCTCTCAATGCCCCAAACCCTGGTATAGGGTTTCAAAACAAGGCTGGATTATCACCGCTTTTGAGAGTGAAAAATGCCGGTAATGCCCAGCAGCCTGGGCTTTTGTTCGGAGTACGGTCTTTTGTTACAGGGCCCTGTTTCTTTTGTCGGAGTTCGGAGACCCCAGCCACCCATATAAACCATACGTCTCCGATCCCGGAGTCCCCGGCAGGAAGTGGTTAAAACAGTAGCAAATACTATAGAAATGGAAAATAAAACATATGTGTGTACAATTATATTAAAGGGTGAGGAGCCCTCTGGCTATGAAAGTAATCAAAGATTGGCTCAGTGAAAAGGCTGGAGCAGGTGAGGGGTGAATGAGCCCCATTAGCCAAAGAGGGAGAGTAAACCAAATATGACTCCGCAGAAAAGCCAGGAGCCTGAGGGAAACGGGAATAAGCTCCTTGGCTACAATAAAGAAAAGCAAAGATAAGCTTGCCAAAGGAAAGGCTGGAGTAGGGAAAAGGGAAATCCAAGCAAACCTGGAAATGCCCTCTAAACGTTGGCTTCTCTTCAAAATCTCTGACTCCATTACTTTGAAGGTACATGTACATGATAAGGATGGGCAAAAAATGGCAAAATTTGATATTATCCTGAAAATAAGGGGAAGCAACGTCATCTGAGCATCATATCGATCAATTACTTTGGGGGGGGGAATCAAAGTCAGGCCTATAGTAAAGCCGTTTTGCTGGCTACTGGCCTTAGTGCCATTCAGGGTGCATACGCACAAACTGCAGTATGTGAGCAGTTCAAGCATCTGTGCCCTGGCCATAACAAAGAAGGCAAAGAGTGGCTTGCCTAATGACTGACAGGAGCAGGGTAAAAGGGGAATGAGCCCTGCTTGTGGTGAAAGCATGCTTAGAGTACCTCACCAATTGATGGCGGCAAAATAAAAGGGGAATGAGCCCTAAGAAATAGGTTTACACAGAAAGAAGTTGCATTTGACAAATATGTCGCCCAGGGTGAGACTAGGGGTGAGTGAGGGATGGGTGAGATACATGTACATTGGGGGAGTCTGGGCAGGATGGACGGTTATGCCCACGTTATAAAGGAGCAAAAGGAAGGAAGGTTGAAGGGATCTGAAAGTTAGAGTGAAGAATCTTTTGCTCATACCTCAGACTAAAGACTCTGGAGTCCGAATAAAGCGGCAATGCAAATCATGTACTGTACATGTACACTGTGTACGTGCTAATGCTATGGGGACTAAAAATGTTACAGGGGCAAATTTTAGTCCCCACGATGCAGTTCTGAGTTTTCTAATAAAAGAAACTTTCCATTATGTTGGTAAGGCCTACCCATGTGTACTGGTACACATGACCTCAAAGAAAATGGGGGGGCAAAGGGAGGTATAAACATATTAAAAGGGGTTCAGACAGCTCGGCCATTTGCCAACTCAACTCAGGACATCTAAGCCACTGAGATAATTCAACAAGTGGGAAAACTCAACCGTCTGTGCTTCAAATGGACAGACAACTCGACCTTTTGGGCATTAGGACCAACCATTGATTCGTAATGAACGTGCTTGTGCTTTACCGTCACATCACCCACACCCTTTCTCCAAATCAAAAAAGGTGAAAAGACTGGATTCACCGTCTCCTACAAAAGCAGACAAGCAACATTCATCAGTGCAGTCGAGGCACCTGTGCCCCTGGACTATGCACCGCGCAACCATGCATGCAACAATGCCGTTGCGGCCACGCATTGCGCTGGTTAGGGCACCTGACACGCAGCCCACCAGTTCTAGTGCATGCTGTGTCACCGAGTCCCTATGCACGCCATGCCCAGTGAATCAAGTCACAACATAGTGTGACACATGCAAATTTGCCCAAACACATCAATCTGCAATCTATGTAAAATGATCCACACTCCGTCGAGTTCATGCCTTGATGAATGGTCAAGTTTTCTTCACAGACGACTTGATAACAGTTACGGTAAGTTGTCCCACTGGTCAGTTGTCTCAACAGTTGAGTTGTCTGACATCCGTTAACCCCTTGACGGGAATTTCTTCCCGAAAGCCGACTCCAAGAATTCCAGCCTCGCTTGGCCACGAAGGCCACGAAGGCCACCTGCCAAACCGGAATTTCTCGGTTTGTGGCCCTGCGTGCTCTGCACGCTTTGAATTACATGGTGAAAAGGCTGATTGTTCGGTGGCATGCGGCTATACTCACGCTTCTACATTCCCGTTGCCTCTTTTCAAAGTGGGGACTATTGTGAAGCTGGTGATTATGATGCAAAATCAGGTTTTTCATTTCTGGGCTACGCACAGCAATAAGCAATAAGTTCCTACCTATAAACCTGCATGAAGTAAAGACTGGCATCATGCTAAGCAGTGAAAAACAATCTTAACAGAAAAAAAGAAAGCTGAAGGTGTATTCTCTTGTGCCAGAGCTTAATAGCGCTTCTGTGCCTGCATTATACATGTCCATGTATCATAATTAAGGGCTTAGACAAAGAAGCAGCTGGCAACAGCAGGACTGTCAATTGTGTAAAGAATGTCAGTTTCAATTTCTTCTCTAACCAGAAAACTGTGCATGTACATGTACAGTGCATATCCTGCCAACTTAAAAAGTTTACTCAACCCACTTAATTGAGTAATACAGTGCTATACATGTACATATCTGGCTCTATGCGCACAGAATTGCCCAACTGAAGCATTAAATGAGCCTTCAAATGCACTTTCTTTTCCTGTTGTGACAGTGTTGGCTCCCAAGTCAAAGCATATGGCCAAGACTATACATTCAAGCAGCCAAAACTTGCCAGTGTAACCTCTCTTTCAAACAGCAGGTGGTCCATATGGGACCACATGATTTCTGTCAAACTAGAGGTCTTCTTGCAGAGTGGCCCCTGCCAGAAAACAAGTTCTACCAGTGGTACACATTACATGAAGTGAATTACATGTACAAAGTACACTGGTACATACCGGTACACTGTACATATTACATGTACTTGTACCATTTGCCATTAAAAAATCACTTGCCCTGGTAGAGCAGCAACAGTGTCAGGTTTCCGGGTGAACACACAAGACAGGAAATGTGACTTGCTATAGTGATCAAAGTCTAAACAACAATATCCAAAAAGCACACGGGAGAAGCTTTGATCCCCCAAAGTACCATATGTGAAAAATGAACTCACAGAATTGGCACACTGACATCAGATGGGGTCAGGTTAGGTACCGGTATTGTACACGTACAGGTACAGTAAATGTACGAACATGAACATGAAGAAATTAATGATGTGGAGAAGGGGAGGATGGAACTTGAGAGGGAAAATGTACGGTGTTAGGTGACACGAGAAAACATACATGTATGTGCACATTTGCAGCACAAGCAGGCAGGGAGGCAGACTCACACATGCATATGTACATGTACCCGGTACGTGTAATGTCCTCAATCCTATATATAACAACAAAATTATGTATAAGTACATTATGTACAAAGAAAGATGATTCCCAAATGCATGTGATGTGAAAACCACATGGCTTACTGGGCCTTTGCCAAAACTATGGTACTGTACGTGCAGGCACGCTGTGGCATTCTGTGTGAACATTAAAATGTCCTTGTAGTATGGCATTATCAGAAAAAGGCCAAGTCTCATTCCTCATAGTGTGTAACACAGTGTACCCTTCATGTGAAAACTTTTGCCAACTGCTTCCAGTGTGATATTATAAAGCCCAGTAACATCCCTTTACAATATTCTGCCTTTTTCTAAAGCTTGCATGGTTCAGTTTGGGGAATGTGCCTACAACATGGACGTGGACATGAATGAGATCATTACAAGACAAAATGTAATCACACACGTAGAGCTTCATATAAATGATACACACACAGTGAACAATCAAATACAGGTACTGTATGTGCATGTACTTGGTATAAAATGTGTCCAGTGTACATGCATGTAAAGTTGCAATTGCAGGAGAGACAAAACATCTGAAGTCATACATGTACATGTATGTCATCTTTGGGTTATTATCTTTTGTGTCATGTGCACGATATGGAAGATGCAGACTTCCATATGCACATATACACTCCAGTGTACTGTATTTAGACAATACGGGTACGTACATGTACACACATGTACATTGTACACGTACTAGAAAGTACCAGCAGAAAGCGTGCCACTGTAGAAGCTCTGATACACGCATGCACGCATGCATGTGAATGCCAAAAAAATGCGGGCAGGCCTTCACTGCATGAAGGGGACAATTTCTCGAGTTTATACGCAAATTTGCACAAAGTTGTGGGGACATTTCTCTGTTTCCACAACATTTCTGGTCCCCACAAAATCAGTGCAATGATGAGAGCTTGTCCTCACAACTACGGAATAAGCATGGGAATATTTTTCATTGTGAGTGGAAATATAGATCTGATTCAAAATATCCTTTCTTAGTGGAATGTGCATTTTTATTTAAATATCCTGCCAGGATGCCACACCTTCCTATACACTATCATTTCACGTTAACTGACCACAAATTGAAGACTATTACAACAGCACACAGTATTATTTAAAAGCACAATATCCCAAATTTGCTCATAGCCACAAACCACCCATAAAGAGTGAGATAAGAACAAAAAAAGGAGAATGACAGTAAGAAAAATGACGAGAAAAAAGTTGTAATTGCAAAAGAAAAAAAACACAAAACAAAAAATAAATTTCACAAATATTACAAACTTCAGAGTGACACGCGTATACTTACCAACTTGTTATTTTCTCGTACGTTCTCTTTGGATAAAGAATCAAAGTCTCTGCATAAAGAGAAAGAGAAATTTAATTCATAAACTTTCACTAACTCAATTTCTGAAGCTACGTGTACAGTACCTGTACATGTACACTGTGATCAGTAGGCTTGCCTGAACTTAATTAGGCACACAGTGTAAATGTACCATACGTACCATGTAGCCTATAAGCCTTTTAAAATTTCTTGTCAGCAATCTCCTTACATTAAAAAAGAAACTTGATCTGAACTCAAATGACACAAGTACATGTACTGTACATACACAAGTAGACAAAATTGCATGATACAGAAAAGCAGGCTTGGGGTTCGGTCACCAGCATAAAACTTGCCATGCCTCTCGACTTTCAGCAAATGACTGGCCAGACACTAGATGTGTCCCTACTGTACATGTAGCCACTACTTCTATTAGAAGGGCCACTTGAAGTAAATTGGAATAGAAGATGGTATGCTGCAGTAAGCCATTAGAGCTTGGAAGTTAACAGAGCCGAAACTAACGACTGGAACAGACTCTAGCTCTGGCTTTGGGTTACAGCACAGCAGCCAACTACTAATACTCTGGGCTGGAGCAGGAAATGAAAATCAGTTAATTCCTAGTATAATCCTTCATAGTACTATAGAATTATGCCCTTCTTTATAATGTACAGTCATGGATATACATAAAGGCAGGCAAATAAAATAATTAATCTGTCCGGTTTTCCACCTCTCAATGTCTCCACAAATTTCCTTTGGCATTTTTACTAATAAAAGATAAAAGTACACTTAAATAACCTTCATTGAAATCCCCTGTACTGCACATTGTACAATGTACATACATGTACATGTATGTACATGTACGTGTATGATTTGCCTTTCAAAGCATACATACAGTGTATGTAAATTTATAGTCCTTTGCACTGTTTGCAGGTGCTGGTACCAAGACCAGCCAGGCTGCGGGTGCCAAACATCTTTAAACTTATGGACGTTCAGAGCACATGTACGTACATGTACATGACATTGTACCAGTATGGTAAGGTACCGGTACATGTACCAATGAAGTAAACCTTCATAAATTGGCAGATTTGCAGATGACAAAATTGCAACTTTTGTCCTTTTTTTTAACGTATGTTTAAATATGGGGTCCTGTGATAGCTGTGAGTGTACATGAATCATTTGCAGTCATTGTCTTGAGTTTTATTGCAATGTACATGTACATGTCCATATACAATACCTACACATGTACATTTGAACATGTAACTGTTTTTCAGTTTTTCAACTGGGCACATGGGTACCTACATGTACAAGTACATGTGTGTAGTTGACATGGATGAAAGGTCACCCCAAGGATGCTCGTCAGAAAGCAGACTGGTACTAGTATCATCGGAAAGACGACTGTATGGGTAATCACCAGAAAAAAAACGACAAAACAATGGCTGACTAAGCCCAACGTGGAAATTGCAAATTATGGCATGATGTGAGCAGCGGCTGGGACAGTCCAATGGATATTACAAGTTTAAGGACACTTTCTGCTACTATAAAGACAACAATGAAGTTAGATGGACAATGTGGATATGACAGGCTGATCATATACATGTACCGTACATGTTTACTGAATAGGCATTAAATAATGTCACTTCCTCAGATTAAAACAATGTGTGCATTACATGTACACATATGGCACATGTACATGTATGTATGCCAATAATTTCCAATATTTCAGAGTACTACCGGTAGAACATGTACATGTACTTCCATGTGTTAAGCTACGTTTAGTATTGTGCAATGTTTACTTGCATGGGATACATGTTCTGGTACATGAACACGTGCATTTATACGCCAATGAACACATACGGTACATGTGTACATGTACATGTACATGTATGCACATGACACTGTAAATGTGTAGTATAAAAGTACATGTGTACCGGTAGGCCAGTTTACGAAAATTTCTGCAGACATTTGACCTTCCATACAAGAGCAATTTAATGTACATTTACCATACCTGTATGTACAAAATACATGTACATGTAGCTAGCAAATCATGGCAACACATCTACATTAGGGTACATGAGGCTACACATTTTTTTTTACTGAGTGGAGCTTCAGTTTTGGATACATACACAACTAATTTTGATGACCAAAATTATGGTGCATGTACCATATTTCTGAGGTGCATACATGTACATACATGTGTGACAACACTTGTGGACAGGTAGTAAGCATATATTTCATGCCTCTTCCATCAACAAACAGGATTGTGTGACTTGCAAAATGCATGCACGTATCAAGTTTATGCATGTACATGTGACAGTGTGGTGACATGAACCTCAGAAATGACATCTCTCCTCCAATGTATACCATACCGGTATGTATCAGTGGTACGTGTACGGTACATACTGGTACATGTACTGTACATACATGTAGCTCCACGGTCTAGGATGAAATAGGGTACTACTGGTATATGTACAGTGTACACGTATGTAGATCCGCATTCACTCCTCTGACTGACTTTATGACTTCTGTGGATTTAAAAGTGAACTGTATGGTAACAGTGCAAACAAAATCCAAGGAAGCCCTCATCTATATATACAGAAATTCATGTATCGCTAGCACTTAACAATTCAGGCCATTTCCAAAATCCAAATCAGAAGTTTCTTTCTTGTCTAAGTTTTTTTTCTGTCACAGCACGCCCATAGGGAAAAGCCACAGCTGTAGGCAAAAACCTGAAAAACAAGGCCCACTTTGGTCACAGCCTGACGTCAATAAGATGGTGAATCAGAGGGTGTGTATCATAAGTCCGACGCCTCGAAAGTCCGAATTTTTGGACTTATGAGGCGTCGGATTTATGGGCAATTTTTTTCAGCCTCATAGTTCCGACACTTCAAAGGTCCGACGCCTCATAAATCTGACGTCGGACCAACGAGGTGTCGGACTTAATATGAAGCGTCAGTGTGATTGACTGTGAAACAAGGAAGAGTGCGGGCCCTAGTCCTGGACGACGCATTGCCCCCGAGCAAGATTCAACTTTGTTCCCAGCTCGTCCCCACGGTACTGACCCTGTTAGGAAACTAAATCAAGCAGACTATGTACCTGCACAGTTCGTACACTGGTCCAGCATTTTCTAAATCCAAAATACCACTGCATGTAAGAATGTTGTATGATACTTCGCTAAATATAAAAAGCATTTTTTCGACTGCAGTACTTTTGAAATCTTAAAAATATTTGTATGTGTTATAAACAGTACACCATACTTGCTCCTAGCGCCATCCTCATAGGCTCGTAATGAGCATCAAATCAAATGCCGGAATTTTTTGTGGTGTTGGATCTATGCCATTGGCCGAAAAAACCGTTGGAACTTGTAAACGCATTTGTCAGACTTATGAGGCATTGGACCAATGAGGCATCAGGTGAAATGTCCATCCAACAAATCACCAACACAGAACTGTTCGTGTACATGTACTTCACTTCACAAACATCTTTGACAGTCTTCATGAAATTACAAAAGTTCAGATATGCTGATGGAAGGGTACATGTACATGCAATGCAACTGACCAGGTATGGCCCCCTTACACCTGTACGTACATGTACATTGTAGCTTCTTGACAATTAAGGCACCACTCCCTTCAACGGAGTCCCACACACTTCTAAGCGCTCATGATTGACTGATACAGGTACAATCTACTGTCAACATCATATCTAAGTTGAGAAGGTTTACGGGTATGGATTATGGCTCTGGCCATCAGGGGTACACAGCAGTGAATAAAGCCTGGCCATGGTAGCCAGCTATACTGGCAAAATTCCGTCAATAAGCCTGAACAAGGCTAGATATTCAGTGCCTGCACAGGGATATGAATCACAGCATCCAAAGGTGTTGGTGGCATCAAATGCAGACGTCACATGCCCAAGCACTAAGACAGTGGGATATTTTATAAATCCTGATGCTGATCACCTATAAACTCTTTATGTAATCTTGCAAGACCTCCCTTCAAGGTACCAGTAATACATAGGGCACATGCATACATATTAGGGACCAACATTTTCTTGTAACATTCTGCTGGGGATTACACACATATGGATACTGTAAAGTGTACACCCTAAAAAGAAATCTTATGTTTCAGGTGTGGATCCAGGGTTGGGGAAAGGTGTCAACCCCCCCCGGAGAAAGTGATAAACAATAACTTTAAGTACATAACGGGCACCAATGCCATTGTAAACAACGTTTTATCATTGTTTCAGCTTGTCTGCAAAAATGAGACATTTTCCCCTGGAAAATTCCTGGATCCACCCCTGTGTTTGGAAGCAACTCAAGAAGCAACTGCAGTACCTGTACACGTCCCTGTGGTAGGATTTTTTTTTCATCAGTCACATGCATGTACATGTAACTAGACTGCATATCTTCTCAAAATTTATATAACAGGTTTTGCCCTTACCCAACGTATATAATAATAAACACTGTATGCTCAGTACTTGTCCGAGAGCTTGCAAAAAAAGTCACAAGCTTACTCAGGTGGGACTCGAACCCAAGACCTCTTGCTTACTAGAGCAGACTAGTAAAATTTTGTTCTCAAAATTTGGTTGAATCTGATTGACACCCTTTGTACACTTGTAAAGGAGCTGACTTTTTTTCTCATACAAATACACCTGTGTACCAGCTGTACATGTACATGCATATGGCTGTCTAATCTGATGGGCAAACAGATACTGTACATGTACATGTACAGGAACATGTAAACATACTTGTACAGTACACTTCAGGGATAAGGATCAGAGTGTTACTCTGTGGCATGATACTGCTTTCATTGATTTCACCCTTGATTTCTTATCTTACTCCTTCCTGATGAGATGTGCTGCACATCAAATGCTATCAGCAATAGCACTGGGAATTAAGAAGGCGCCAAAGCATATCCTGAATGTGAGATGTATGGGATAGCAGACTCAGAGTCCTCCAAGGATTACAAAAGAACCCAGGCACCGGTACATGTACATGTAGGCTTGACCATACAATTTACATGTACATGTACATGACTCAGAGGCCTTCAAGAATTACAAAAGAACCCACGTACATGTACCGGTACAGTAGGCATGCCCATATAATGTATGTTTCACCATACTGGTAGCTTGACCACTACAGCCTGCCCTGGAAGACCTTCAGTGGTGCAGACTGGATTATTTCCCTAACCCCTCAGACATTTTTGCTTGGAACCTTACGCAATCCTCTAATGAGCCGGATGGCACATGGCTCTACATGTGCATGTACCTTTCTGAATACTGAGAAATCTTCTCAATCCTCTTGAGTGGATTTTACAGGAACCAGGAAATCTAGGGTTTTCACTGATAAAATTCCCAATTTGGAGGGTTAACTTTTGGATGAGTAAGGTCTGTTGAAAAGAAAATTTCTAATTATCGGATTTGGAGAATCACAAGGCGACAATGTAAGGAAGAAGAAAAGGGGAATGGCAATGTCTGGAAACATTGGAGACTTTCATAGGATTAAAAAAAAAAATAGCTGATTAAATTTTGGCCTCTCTGTTGTATGGGTACATGTATTTCTTTGTGACCTGGTTGGTTACTGACCATAGAAGAAATCTGCAGCACCGAAGGGTGGAAACAGACTATAAATGTGTACTGAGTTTGCACTGTACACTTATCTTTGCAGAATGCAAAATATTTCATCACCCACATCATTGGAGATAAGCAGTCACTCGGAAAGAATGCTCCTTTATGAGTTCAAATCTAAACGTGTACCGACACATGTACATATACAGTACCGGTACATGTACACACGTACATGTGCTGTACATCAGCATTCTCATGTCTGGCTTACGTTTGGCTTAAGCTTCTCGGTTTCTTTTGGTTTGTTGAAGTGAAACTGCATGGTGTTTGTGTCTTCACTTTACATAAATCCAGGTGAGCTGTTTCAGATTTAAAGCTGACTACTTTCAACTATAGGTGAGTCAGGTTGGTGCAGTGGTTCTTTCCTTGCCTTCCCAAACTCTGCAGCCTGGCTTCAAATCACACCAAAGTCAACACGTGAATTTGTGTTCCCTGTCCTTACCCAATTCAGGGGGTTTTCCCTGAAGCATTTGGCTGGGGTTTTCTTCCTACCTCTAAAACTAAACATTTCTTCATTATCTTCTTCCCGCCAGGGCCCACAGTGCACGTGTACCGTTAACTGACAGAGCTTTACCCTAGTTTTAAATAAAGAATATAAAAAGTTTTTAACCGGAAGCTAACCGGTAAAAAAAGATACCAGTAGCAGCAATTTGTCAGGTGTTCACCACTCTTTCACAAAGTTCACAGGAGGTTCAATGGTACACAAGAGAGGACCCCATGTATACATTCACAATTATGAAGTAAAGATAGAAAACATCAAAAGCAACAGCTGAAAAACATGTATGTGAAGGAAAACCGAATATACTCCACACACATGTACATGTACATGTAATTCAGACCTGCCCACAGATGCGTGTTTCAAATACAGATATTTTACAACCAAAGATTTCTACTAAATTTCTGAATATTTCTTATCAGTAAATTTCAATGTGAAGATATTGCTAATAAGAATGCATTCCACTTCGGCATGTACTGGTACAAGCCTGAGGCACCATAAAGTGCATAATTTCTTGGCTGGGCAAGCCCTAAATAAACAGTGGGAACTTGCTTACAAAAGAAGAGTGATCATCAAAACAAGAGAATGACAGGGAAGCTACGAAGATACGAGTGACACAATGATACACACTTTATCACCGAGCACCAAGACTATGTTCACTTCCTGATGCAAGCGAGAGGAAATCTATCCTTCGGGTGAGGTATACCCTACTGTGTATAACATTGTGCATGTACATGTACATAGCTTGACAGGAAATTTCTGAGCCGGTTTTCAATCCCGAGGGCATTTTTTTCACTTTTTGCTCCCATAACTGAAGACCAACTTGAACACTGGAAAACTTTGCACTGTGCTCACTAGCCTTTAGTGGTGTCAGCAGGTCCGTTTATTTAGTGAAATACCCATAGTTTGTATCAGTGCTACCGCCATTTTGACTTTGCACATGTACATACATATATACATGTACATACATGCTAGGCAGCTTGTACAGCATACATTGTGTACATGTACATGGTACAGTGATCTCATGGGGATGTACATGTATGGTATAAAACACAAGCATTTTGTTGAACGTTTTAAAATACATTTGGAAGAAAAACCCCTCAATAACAAGTTTTCACACAAGCATTCACTACAGTTGCTGGGTGCCAAGTTTCTCTTAATTATCTATGGACACTACCCACATGGAGTACATGTACATGTACATGTACATCTTCGATAGTTACAAGATAATGTTCTTCATCAAGCAAGCATCACTTAGCGGATTTAGCTCCGTATTCTGTGGACAATTTCAGACATGCTTGACGATCAACATGACAGTTAATTTCCATGGGGAGCAGCCTTGACTAAAGTTTGCGTCCAGCTCCGAAATGCCAAATACAGGTATAGATCTTGAATGTTTAAGGGCCTCATGTTTCAAAAGTCAGGACTAGCAAAATCTTTCTGAAGGATTTTTACTTAAATTGAAACATCAGACCCTCTTGAGTCATTTCAGTCAGTAAGGTGTTTTCAGGACCTTTTAAAATCTTTATTTCTTAACTACACTATACATGTATTCATTAGCGCCCCCCATGCAAATTATACACATTGTGGTTAGAACCATTCTTTCAGTCAAAACTAATCAAGTGACACGTTAAACAATATGGATGTAGTTTTGATGATGTTTTGACCGGCCATGACTGGGAAAGTTAGCAGAGCCTTCTATAGGCTGGATGTACACATATGATTTGAAAAAAGTTTTACAATTTTGCATAAAACTTACATAAGATCTGGTCGGAAGTGGTGCAGGACGGCACAGAATGCCAGCCCATCCTTCCAGGATTTCTGCATGTTGGTGACATTGACATCTTTGTAGCCTTCTGTCACTCTCTGGGACCAGACCAGAAGGGCCTTGGTCCCAGACAGAGCCATCCTTGTTAGAGAAAGGCAACTTCTTCCCTGGTTGATGTCAACTCTTGTCTGCTGACGTTCTGACTGGCACTGTGCTTTTCTACAATGATGCAGATGCCACTATGTACATGTACAAGTGAGTGGAAATTTGCAGCCACAAGCTGTGTAAGGAATAGATAACAAAAAATTGATTTACATGTACCGGTAACAAGACAAAGCACACTACATGTATGTACAGTATTTCAGTTTGTAATTGATTTGTTGTGTTTAGTTGTAATTAAAAATACGTATTCAGATCATACAAGCTGATATGCAGTAACTGAGTACTGTAAGCCAAACAATATGCTTGGCAGTTAGGGTTAAAGTACATGTAGATTTACAACTGTATTCAGATGTACAGGTACAGTGTACATGAATACATGTATATCTTTAATGAAAAACAAACCAAAATAATCTACAACAAATGAGGACTGATATCAGAGGATAACTCATGTATCTAATCAGAGGGGTACTGGTACAATGTACATGTATATTCATATGAAGTTGAATAAAGTAACGGTAGCGCTCACATACTACCGGTATGTACCAATATAAGAATCAAAATGACTAACAGTGACACAATGCAAAGCAACATTGCTGTACACATTCTCAGCATTCTTAACACTGTCAAATACAAATACATGTACATGTACCTTTACATAGAGTACCTGAGTATTAATAACAGATTACTCACTGGTGGCAACTTACACATACCACAACAGGCCAGAGGAAAACGTAATCATGTTAGCTACATGTAGGAATAGTTTGGTGTTCATGTTGTTGGCTATGATTACTCCTAGGGTATACAGACATGTACATGTATGTACGTGTACATTGTGGCTTGCACTCCTGTGTAACTTCTACATGCATGAACAGTAGTACATGTACATTATAAACTTATATGAAAGTAAATGTACATGTATGTACTGAATGTATTTATACACATGTACATACGTAGAAACATGAAGTTTACTTGAAACAAAGTTCATATGAATTATCAATAGTTCTAAACTTTTTGTTTCACACTGTCAGACTTTGCTAATTCAAAACAGGGAATAATAGTACACGACATGCAAGTAAAATAAATACATCTTAACATGTACATGTATGCATCGTACCCTGTCCATGAGAGCCTTTCGAATCAGATACGAGTTCAAGAAAATAAATGTTTTTATATATAATAAGGACGTGGCATGCCCTATTTGCAATTTATAAACCGACACTGCAGATCTACATGTACAGTGCAGATAAAGCAGAAGAAAGGATTTTTCTACCACAATATGGGACAAATGCACGGAAAACATACATTTTTTCAAAAAGTCTACATTTTCCGAATTTCACTTTCAAACTGTTGCAAGCCGGAGGTTTTGCAATCTCCCCATCACACAAACCTCTTTCAGTGTGATTAACGGATGCAGAGTGACTACATGCAAGACCTACAGATAATTTATCACCCCAAGGATGGATGCTTCTAACATGCACAAACATGACCCACATTTGACCCTGCACACTCAACTCATGTTTGCATGAATGACGGGCTATGTGATAGCATATACACACATGACCAGTACATCATACATGTAATGTATCTCACACACATGTACATGTACATATACATGTAGGTATGTATATGTATGTATATGACACAAACATCAACTAAATATTACATGTACATACATTATAGATGGTTCTAAAAAGTAAGTACTGAAATGGACAAAAAGAAATTTAAATAAAGAAATACAATGCATAGAGCATTATTTACAACCTGGTGTCTTACATGTAATTGAGATTAAAGAGGTAAAGACGAACTGACTGATGTACATGTACTTAACCTGATGAACATGTACGGTAAATGTAATCACGGGGAGGGGGGGACAACCCAGCAAAATGATATTTGCCCTTGCAACCCCTTTGGGGGCCGTAGGTTTTTTATTTTTTTTAAACTAACGGATAGAATTATGCCAATCTACATGTACATAAGGGAGAATGGCTTTGAATGAGTTTGAGCACTTCCATAATAATTCAAGGTTCTCCACTTTAATTAATAATATTGATGGCTTGCACTGGGAATGGAGGAGAAGCATGAGGATTAGAAAACATTAGATTGGCACAATGCATGCATTGGCAAAGTGAAACTGTACATGGGCAAGGTGGAAAATAGGCAAAGTGACAAATGGGTGAAGTGACTGACACCCAATAAATGCTTAAGAGGAGAGAGTTGCAAATGTCAAAATGGGACGTGATGATAACATGTACTAATAGACATGTACATGTAATGTAGGTTTTCTTGTAACGGATCACTGTGAAATATCACCCGGTAAAATATCTTGGCATTTGAGTATTCTGTGTTGCTCTCTTCACTAAAAAACTTTTGTCAGTTCTGGATCACTGATGCCCGCCATTTAAACAGAACTGATGCAGAACATTGTCTACAGAAGTAATACACACAACACCCTGAGCCCACTTTGAAGTTACGATTTTACAACCCTTTCCTCAACCAAGCAGTAAGCTCCGACTTCCTTGTTTTTCAAACAGCCGATGGACGCTTTGGACAACCACCCATGCTTGTTGTGATACACCTGAGTTTAACCAAACACATGCTGTGCGAGATGGCATGGCTTGCTCCCAAGAGTCACAACTGTCAAAAGTGATGTATACACAACTGTGGTGCATACATGTATACATGGCAACCGTATTCATGTAGGCATGGTAGGAGACGGGTACAGTAACCATCCAGCTGCTCAGCATCAAACAAGCAAGTTGCCTTGGCCTTCGGTCTCATGTACAGTATGGGTCTCATTAGGACTACTGACAGAATGAACGTTTTTAAAATATGCCCAAATGTAATTTTAACAAACTTTTAGTTGGGCATGTGCGTGGGAGTAATAATGATTCTAACAAGAATTTATCAGTTTTAAAGAACTTTTTAAATGTTTTTTTGGGGGATTTTCTGAGACTTTTTCAAGTGCGCCAAGTTACGGGACACTCAGCTGAATTCTGGCCCAATTCCCAGATGATGACATGTTTGAATAACTTACAAAATTTCTTGACTCTGAAATTCATCACAAAGGCTCCAAAGCTTATATCATAAAGGTAATACTACCAGTGTTCAACCAAGTGGTTTGAAGTTATTCAACAAAGAGGTTTGGCAAAGGCAAATGAACACTGATGTGCACCGTATTATATTCGACAGCACTTTAGCACGCAATTCAATGAAGTACATTTATGGTTGCTGTGGCTTATGTTCCATGCAGCCAACAAGTACATGTATATTCCAAAATATTGAAGTAATAAATTTACATTTCTTGACTATTGGTATTAGTGAATTTAATAGTTTTAGCGAATTTCCAATTATCAACAGATATTAAATCTTGAGCCTATTCTTTGAAAATGAAGTAGTTTTTTAATTGTTGTTCTGTTTTCAGTCATTTGATGTCCTTAACCCTAACCGCCAAGCATATTGTTTGGCTTACACTACACAGTACTACAAAATACTAAGTAATAGTCTGAGCCCGAAGGACCTAGCGCTACAGATTACCACTTCTGGCTAGGTTCCTTCCATTGTTACTCGTACAGAGAACAATAAAGCCATGCATTCATAGTGTCACAGCACTGTATGGTACATTGTCTAATCTATTATATCTTATGGCTTCAGAAAACAATAAGGTCATGTCCTCTTACAACTACAAGCGACAGCGCTCAGTACTACATTTTACTACAAGTAGTAATTTGTAGTATTGTGTACGGTTAGGGTTAATGGCTGACTTCAAAGTTCTGACTAAAACTGTCAGTGCGTGAAGCTGTCGCACACAAGTTGGTCAGCGCGTTAGATGGTCAACATGAGTTGGTCGGTGTACGAGTTGATCAGCACACACCTGAGTTGATCAAACTACATACAGGTTGGCACACGTATGAGTTGACCTGCTCCTCATTCAACAAGACAGAACTCTTGCCGAAATTCCAAACATTGGAGGTGTAGACCTTAAGTGGTTTCGTACTGAAAAGGGATCCAGAACTGTCACGTTCACTGTATTAGCAAGTTGGTACTTTTTATACCGGCCTAGGCTAAGCCTAACCCTACTATGGGTATGTTCAGTGCAATCTTGATTATTGTGTAAATTTGTTGTATTCCCTGGGGCAGATCCACGAATTTTCCAGGAGGGGGGGTCAGGCCGGAGCTTTATTTTGTAATGTTTCTTTTTTGCAGACAAATGAAATTATGATGATGAAACATTAAATGACATACCTGTACATTGTTTACAATGGTATCGGTGCACTCACCTTTTACACTTAGTTATTTTTTATCACTTCCCCCATTTTCTTACTTTTTAGTCTCAGAGTGGGGGGTTGACCCCCACTCTAAACCCCCCCTGGCTTGGATCCGCACCTGATTCCCTCCTGAACATTCTGAATTGATTATCCTACATTCGTCCTATAAATACATTTTATTCAACGGCAAATCGACTTAGGATGGAGTACAACATGCCTACATCTGTGTAAGAATCAAGATTGCGCTGAACAGTGCTACTGCTCAAGAGTGTCAGTCAGTCATGCACTTCATGCAGACTGCGTACACGAACTGACACAGTCACGTATGACCAAACATGAAATATTCACCAATCATGCCAATCTGCTCGTCATCCCTTTTCAAGAGTGACCATAGGCCGAGGAATAAAACTAAAACGTAAACTTTTTGCAGTGACATAATTGAATAACATATAATTTACCTTCATAAAGATTAATATCCAGATAAACAACTGCCAGGAAAGGTTGGGAAATTAAGGAAAAAATTCCAGGGGATTTACTCACCCTTTACACGAACAACTTGGTCTTCGGCTGGCCGTGCAGCTGTGGGTTGTCAATTTTTGGAAGAATCCACATTTTTCGAGGAAGGAGTGTGATGTTGACGCACATGCTTATTTATTTATTTATTTTTTGATTTATAAATCTTTAACAAAATGTAAATTTAACATTTATACGTTTTATTAAAGACGTATCAAGAAAATATGATGCAATATCAATAACCGACTAAAGTGACTGGAAGTTATAACTATTTGAAGACATCGACTGGAATCCCCCGCCCCAATATCAAGATCAACTCTGCCGTTCTCTTTTTTTCCGGATTATGGAATCATGGGTAATTTTCAAGATGGCTGCGTCCATGATCGGAAAGTTTGACGGAAACCTCTGCGACATTTTGCAGAATGTTCAGCAGATCGATGCATTTTTAGATGTTATATTCGAATTCTTATACAGAAGGTGATTGCTTGCATTTTCCATGGACTGTAAACTAAGCAAATAAATCAATTTCGTGAAAGCGGTAGGCCCAAGCTCGCGTGCATGGCGTGTGTCGAGCCCTGGCATGCCAGGGATAGTGCCTGGACAGTGACTGCTACTGTCAGTGGGATCAGGTCAACTCGGACCCAAACCAACTCGGACCCATTCCAACTCGGACCCATGCCAACTCGGACCCACGACCAACTCGGACCCACGCCAACTCGGACCCACGACCATCTCGGACCCACGCCGTTTTGGACCCACCTCGAGTCAACTCGGACCCATTGAGTCTTATGGTTACATCACACCAAATACGCGCCCGTAGACTGGAAATTCAAGATTATGGACAGATCGGTCACTTTTCGTTTCAATTTTCTGAACTTTTTTTTTCGCCTTTTCCCGAAGATACCCCCCAATAGTAGTAAAACTATGCGCTCATATGAATGTAGCCGCCTGCCTCTATCCAAAATAGGCCCGCATTGTGGGGCTCTTTGTGAAAGAAATACTCTGAACCGGAATTTATCAATCCCAAAGTCGGGATTTGTATAAATAATTCTATGACCCCTCGTGATTATGGCACGTCTTATTGTAGAAAATAGGAAACCGTGGGATCACAAAATATTAATAATGAGCTCGCGAGCAGACATACGACGCTTCAAACCGTCTCCAAGTTTAAGCCAATATG